ATGGTTGCCAACTCGCCACATGCATAATTAAGCTACCCAGCGGCAGGTCACGCGACAAGCAACAAGCAGACTAAAATCGATACCTACTTAGTTTACGTGCAATTTTTTAGGACACCTAGCTTTCATAATCTAAAAGCCCAATAAAGCCCACACTTTGACGCTTAGTCAACAACATTAAAGTATTTGATTTCTGTTATTATGCAGGTGTAGTTCTGGGTAATTATTGAGCAAAGGAACAGAAATATCAGGCCAGGCCCTACGATGACTTGACGGGGGACCCCTGTGAGCGGTCGCGACACCGCAACTGACGCACACCCACCGACCGAACGACCACACCTTTATTACGGCCGTCGAAACGATCGATAGTGGAAATCATCTGCTGCAGTATCGATCGCGTCGCGCATTAGATGTGCAGGCGTTGGGACAAAGAGGCGTTTGTCAATTACTCGCGATTACGGTAGCACGCGCGAGTTTCAAACAGGACTTTCTATGCCTTGCTGCCAACTGGCTCCTTCTCTCCTTTGTCACTTAAAGACAACCAGACAATGTGCAGACCTTTTCAATGTACAGGATAGCGGAATTTGAAATCACAGAGGATATCCCACTTTCGCGACTCGAGAGCGCTTCATAAAAGCATGACAGCTCAGCAACGGTTAGCTGACTTCGCCTTCGCAAGCTAGTTTTAGTGTGTTCACTATGGAGATTCGTTAGCGGTGATATCACTCACTTACTCTCAATAATCTTATCGATTATGTCGTGGATTATGAGTCGCAGTGAGGGGCGGCTAGCCTCAGAGAAGTAGCCCAAAGTTCCGATTAACTCGTTCTTTTTCGATCCCGTTCATTTAGTCTTATCTGGATTTTGACGGTTTTTTCTCTTTCCTTCGGGTTCATTTCTTTTACCACACGACCCAATGATTCTAAGTCCTGCAACCTGCAGGCGATCACGGGCGCAGTCTTTAACACATTCGCGGCGGCGTGTACTCCCGGGAGTACACGCGCCTATTCGCTGGTTTTTTGTATTTTATTTTCTTTTTCCACTAACAATTGGATATAAATAATAATCAAACAATAGAGAAATAATATCCACACATTAGAAGAGGCGTGTATACCTGAAATACTCAAAAACTTTCTTTTTAGGCGAATCGTGCATTCTTGGGAGTACACGCGCCTCTTCCCTCGCTTTTTGATGTTTTTTTTCTTCTTTTCACTGGCAATTATAAACAAATCATAAAATAAATAATATACAAGTAACACTAAGAACATTTCTCTTGTATTTTTTGGAACCAGGTGAGGCAGTAGTGGTCCTTACAAGGGGAACTAAGAACTTCCACAAGAATCAAAGTCTATATTCTCTTTGTGCGGTACTACTGAACATCAAAAAGGGCAGGAAAGCTAGTTCATTCACCGAAACTTAGATAAAACTTGTAGAAGGGGGAAATGTAAAAAGAATGGCGAAAAACGGCCTTCGTTAATTTTTAGGCGTTCATGGTTCCGTCGCGAGCGCGCAACCATGAACGGGATGACTGCCTAAGTGTCGCCCGCCGCGAACGCGTCGCTCGACAAACGGGAGTTTTTGACGAAACGGCGCCGCCGCGAACGTGTTAAAGACATTTCCCGCTATCTAGTGGTCAGCGAGCAGTGCCTGCGGGCGTTTGCCATCCAGGTGTGCATTCGCAGTGTACGAGGCTCGTCACTTAAAAATAAACACAACATAAAACGGTACAGACGCGCGAGCTTTGTTCTTTTCAGTCTGTGAGTGCGTTCAGACCCCGCGATCGCGCGACCCAGTTGAGCGATCGCGACCGGGGCGCTCCACCACCAATCGATGAACCGCCGAAACAACGGGACTCAATTGGGCCGCGTTCGTGCACTTCTTGGTTTTTCTTATAGTTCTCTGTGCACGCATGCCTTGCTATATGAAGCGTTCTGGAAGGTGTGTTTTTTCTCTCAAAGTGTTGTGTTACTGCATTTCTCCTCCAGCCGTGTTCCTTCAGACTCTTTATGGCGGTTGACCGATTGGAGGTGGAGCGCCGCCGGTGGCGATCGCGAAGTGTGAGGCCTCTGCGAGACAGCGACTTGCACGACTTATTACGTGTATCCATTCTGTTTTCCGCAGCGTCTAAGATTTCATATGCTCGTCGAGAAAATTCCAGCTTGTCGACTCGTTTGCCAGCCCGCGAGTTGTTCTGCTTATTAAGCAGAATGCGCCGCAAGCACGCAACACGCCGCATGACCAACATGTGTCTAGCAGGCAGACACAGTGCTTATCTCAGGGCACATCGTTGTTGGGGAATCCCCAACAGGGGGGGGGTCGTATTTGGGCTGAGAAAAATTTATTTTGATAGTTGATTTTTCTCGCTTCATGGACGTTGTGAAAGGGGGTCGTACTTGCTCATTGTTGGGAGGGGGGGGGGTCGTATTTACTTTCTGGCCTTTCTAGGAGTGGTGGGAGTGGTGGTTGACTTTTCGTGATTTTCCTGTTTCATGCGTACTATTAGGTTGGCGGGAAAGTTCTGTCATACTTTTTTGAACTCAAAATACTTGCCCATTACCTGAAGAGGGGTAACCGGTAATGTGAGCACTTATACATCAAGGAGTGGTCTTTCTATTAGTACCACTCGCTTGACTCCTGCTTCTTCTTCTTCTGCAATATGGACAAGGATTTTATCCGCTACCATCGGCACCGACCCCTCCAAGCGCTTCCTCAAACTCTTTCTTCCACCACCCTGACGCCAGCATGATAGCTGCAGATGCCAAAATAATGGAGCTGAATAAGGACGATGCCCTCAATTATCGGACAACCTTCCACGACGCTAATGCTTCAAAGCGGGAGCCTACAGTTTTGATGACGAAGTGAGGTTTGGGTTACCTGTGAACTCAGCTTGAGGGTCGTGAAAGTGCTGGATGAAGAAGCTGCTTCCTCGGTCAATGCGTACGCAAAGCAGCTACGAGATTAAAGTCGATCAGAGGGAAAAATTTGTCCGCACAGCCCGCCCTCATCATGATAGTGCAGCGCACTCCGTCCAAAAAAGTTCGAGCATGCAATAGAGCTGGATGGCTCTCCCCTTGCACTGGTGTAGCACAGACATTGCTCCTTCTAACTGCAAGTTGCCTCCCGTACTCAATCGTTATGTGGACGAGAAAACCTCCATAACCCGAGTTCAAGTCAAGATTGAGATGGTGTCCAACTTTGCGTCGCGCCCCTGCATTGTGAAGCGATGGCATCCATGAGGTGCTCAAAAACTGGCAAGAACCCCGCAGTAACATTGCTGTACAATTTTGATCTTACACGCCTCTATAAAAAGAAAGCCTAATTTGAAAAATGTGACAACTTTTCCGCCAACCTACTACACCCTCCCCCCGCTCGACAGCAAAATTTTTGGGAAAAGTAGGGAAGTTTTCGGGAAATTTTGGAAAAAGTGGCAGGAAGTTGGGGAAAATCTGAGAATTGGTAGAAGGGGGGTCGTATTGTCTCGCGGCTTTTCCTGTTTCACATGTGCTATTTACCCCCTCCCCCCTCGACGGCTCGATTCGATGAGGAGGGACAGAGGGCCGGAGGAGGGGGGGGGTCGTACCAACCCCCAAAAAAGAGGGGGGGGGTCGTACGGACTCGACCAAAATCACCAACCAATTATGTGCCCTGACTGGGCCGCGTCCATGCACTTCTTCGTTTTCCTTGCGGTATCCTGTGCGCGCATGCCTTGCGTTTTTGAAGCGTTCTGAGAAGCGTGGTTTTCTATCAGATTTTGTGTTACTACATTTCTCCTCTAGTCGTGTTCCTTCAGATTCTTTACGGCCATTGACCGATTGGCGGTTTAGCGCCGCCGGTCCTATTGCGAAGTCTGAACGCACTCTGTGAGACAGCGACTTGCACGATCCATCACGTGTATACATTCTTTTGTCCGCAGCGTCTAAGATTTCATATGCTCGTCGAGAAAATTCCAGCTTGTCGACTCGTTTGCCAGCCCGCGAGTTGTTCTGCTTATTAAGCAGAATGCGCCGCAAGCACGCAACACGCCGCATGACCAACATGTGTCTAGCCATTGGAAGACACATTTCTTATCTCCACCTTCTCTCGCTTCACTGAGAACGCATAGTCCTCTGCAGTTCTTTTGGTACGTATTTAGGTGGCGTGCCAACAGGTTCACTACGGTATCTCGGTTAACCCGGGTCCTTGACTATCATAACTCCATTCTCAGGACACTTGTCAACGCTAAGCCTCCCTCCCCATCCCTTTCCTTCCTCCTTTTTGCTTCCTCCCTACACTCATCCCTCCTCATTTTCCTTCCTCTAAATGCTCGACTAGAGGATGCGATGAGGAAACACCTGTGACCTTCGCAGCAAGAGAGCATCCGGTTGACAGATGTCCAGTAACTCTCTTGTTTAAGTGGGACTTTGTTCCCTATAATTTTTTGGTTGCGTATCTGGGTAGCGTACGAACGAGTTCGCTACAGTATCTTCGGTATCTTGTTTGGCGTGGGTCCTGCAGCGAATGTGTTGGCAGCATTTCATCAAATATCCGATCCCTCCAGCTTCAACGCGTCCTTCCTCCAGGAGGTTTAAAGTGAGGCGCTACTTCACCTGTGGACCTGCCTCTCGTCCATAGGTCAACCTAGGAAACGTACAGCTTACCTTTAAAGCGTTCGATTCTCTCGTAGAGCGAGTTTATGCTTCGCGATCGCGCGATCGGATCGCTTGTCTAGATCGCGCGACTGCGAAGTATGAACGCCTCTTACCAGTGAAATCCTTTTGCGACGACTGTATGACTCGTTTGCAGTGATGGGCTTCGAATGTCCCGAATGTGGAGTGGACAAAGGAAGCAGACTCTACTATCATCTGTTCGACGCCCACTCTTACACTAAGGATGCTATAACAGAGTTGAAAAAAAGTAGACGTCAGGATCGAGTTCTGACTACGTGCGTGAATTCAAAAGTTCACACATGCTGTGTGTGTGGTCTACAGTATGCAAAACGAGGATCTCTTTATAAACACTTACGGATGAAGCATAAAGACGTCTTTCCCAATGTTGCAGCGAAAGGCCTGAAGTGTCCAATGTGTGCAAAGGAAGTGCAGGTAAAAATGGTCCGTCTGTGTTTTGCTCGTTTTACGGTAGTTTATCTTTCTTTATCTTTATTCAGTACGTTGTGTAAGGCAACGTTAAAAATAAAACATGAAATAAAATAAAACCCGGAAACAGAATACAAACTCCAAGGAAACGAATAAAAACAACAAACGACAACTATGAGGCAAGCAATTGTTTAGCTAGTGACCTTCTTAATGATGCCAAAGAGCCTTGGATGGAAGCGGTTTTGTTGAGGCGCAAATAAGCAAGTCCCGCTCTGACAGTGAAAAAGTTTCGTCTGAGAGTGGTTTTAGGTCTAGGAAACGATAGCTTTAGGTGAGCCCCCTGGTAACAGACGGAAGCAGGTTGTAGAAAGAAGAGCAGTTGACAGCAGACTCCTTCTAAGAAGCCTATGGAGCACACAGATCAAAGAAGTTGCGTCGAGACTGGAGGGTTGGAAGTTTGAAGTATTCGTTCCTTACCGAAGCTTTCGGAATTTTAGCATACAGGAAACCTCCGTTTTCGCGTCCGGAATGGAAACGGTGGATTGGATACGAAATGCTCGCCGTGTGCATCAGTTTCTACAGTTTCTATCGAGTGTAGAGCGTTACTTCCCAGACGCGGTCTGTGCTGCGAGATGTTGCAGGCTGGGTGACGTCTGTAGTATTCGCACCAGGACCGCACCAGTGTTATGGAACAAAGACATTTCATGGAGATCGGGGCGCGAAAAGCTAGAGCGCGGAGGAGGAGAGGACTGTGGCTGAAAAGGCATTCAAAAGTGTAAAAAACATATCGCGAGCCAGAGCATGAGCTCTTTTTTCAAAGAGAGGGGACCACGGAGCGTTCTTTCGCCTAAACCTACACCCGGAAAAAATGCCGGACGAGTTTTACGGGCGCAAGTCGTCCACTTCGTTGTGGGACCACGCGTCCCTTTAACTTCATTTGAATTAGGATACTTCAATAAGAGCGGTTTTTTGCGAGATTATCGCTTTTGTGCGTAATCATAGTTGATATTTTCGAGATCTGCTTCGAAAATCTGATAAAAGTGGATGCGGTGCTAACGTGGTTGGGAGGGGCCACGCGGCTCGCGGCGAGTGATGACTCATCGACTCTTCTGCTTTCTCCTCGGCAAAAAAGAAGTAATTTCATGTTTAGGACATGGATATATACATTACCATTGCGGCTTGTGAAGAATTGCAATATGAATCTAGATCTAACAGAGATTTGTTGTTGTTCTCCTGAACTCAACAGTTCCTTCCCTTGAGAGCCTCTAAAACTGAGCGAGTCAAAAGTGTCTCCACTGGACATCTAACAAACAGCTCTTATAACAGCGGTGCTGCACAGAATACCGAAGATAGGTTGTAGATATCTTCCTTGCCTGAAATCCAACGCTGAGTGGCAGAACTTCTAAAAATGGTGACACCCGACGGGATGTAGTCCTTAAAAAAACAGAGGAGTATGTGTGCTCAATTTTCCGGTTCGCATTTCAGGTTCCATGTGTTTCCTAATCAAAGCAGAAGCAGATCTCGAAAATATTAACTATGATTACACAAAAGCGATAATCTGCAAAAAAACGCTCTTATTGAAGTATCCTAATTCAAATGAAGTTAAAGGGACGCGTGGTCCCACAACGAAGTGGACGACTTGCGCCCGTAAAACTCGTCCGGCATTTTTTCCGGGTGTAGGTTTAGGCGACAGTCTGGTGTGTATGAGGCGTGAGGTGACAAACTGCAACGCTTCATTTATGAGTATCACGACTTTGCATCAGCGTTTTGAGCATACGCGAACGTATCCGCCATATAGACTCTAGTTCGGTAGGGATGTGTCAGGCAGTAAGAGTGCCACGGTGTCAGCTCGTTCTCTGCCAGTTGTTGAAGCGATTATGCGATAACAATTGGTAGAAAACGAGTAATACGAACAACATGATACAGTCTTGTCTTGCTCGCTTCAACAGTTGGAGGAGAACGGCTCTGGATCTGAGCCAAACTCATCCAAGCTGGCACGCCCCTTCATCCGCCGCGAAGTAGGCTATATGGTAAATGCTCCAGCGACTCGTACCAATGTACCTAACGCTCCACGCCCACTAGGGGTCCTGGGTGACACCATTGCAACACGCCATTTACCTTGCTGCATGGTGGACGTAACGACTCACTCGACCAACTTTGGACTCGAAACGCGAGCGGCGTGCACTTCATATCCAACACCCTGGCATGGCCACTGCAATTTGAACGTGCTGAATTGTTTGTTTATTATAAGCAGTATAGAAGGTTTTTCTTAATAATTTTTCTTAACAGTATCTTGTAGATCCACCGTAATCTTGTGGAACATGTTGTTCTCGCACATTCCGGAAATCCTGATGAGTATAAAGTGGAAAAGGTCGTATTTCACGATAGGAATTCGTTCGAGGTGTGTCAGTTTCTC